TCCTTGTATTATATATAATTTAAAAAGTTAAAATTCAATCCTTATACAGAAATTTTAATTTAATCAGCCTCTACGTAATTTTGTGAGGATTAATTAAAATTTTTTAAGTATTTCTCCAAAACATCAACTTAATTGGTCGATGGAAATGAATTTATCTTTTAAACTAACCTCTTTGACAAGTATCCGTATGAGAATTTGTTTGGATTGAAAGGAATATCCTAGTGGTTGATGGATATGCCACCAACTTTGGGGGAAATCCTAGCCAAATTTCTTGTGGGGTTCATTAAAGTTTATAGAATATAAAATATAGTAAGGGGATCGGCTTTAAGGAAAATGTAGTTTTTTAAAAAATTAATTTGTATCTACTTCCTCTGTTTAAAAATGTAAGGTATTTTTTTTGGAAGAGTTGGATGTTAAAAAATATAAAGCATTTTTAGTTTTTTTAGATGTAATCATTACTTTTTTTCTAGCAGTGCCCTTATTGATAATGACTTTTTATTTATTATAGGGTGTTTAACAGGGGTAAATATGAAAATATAAAATTAGTTAAAAATAGATAACTACTTTATTGAGGGTGAGATTTAATTAAAAATGTCTTATATTTTGTAATGGAGGGAGTATATATTAATCTTTTTTGGTGAAGCACAAGGAACATACATGTGTGTGTGTGTTCTCTTTTGAGATATTAATAGCACAAGATAAATTTTTATATTTTCAACTAAACTAACATAAACAAGAATTCATATTTAAACTTTCAACTATTTATTTAAATCATCAGAGTTTCCAGTATAAGAAAAATCTCTATTGATGAGTTGTCTCCTAGTTATTATAAAAGTGTGCAGATTAATTATAATAGTAAACATTTCATAAAAAGAAATTAAACCTCAAAAAAGTTGGTGTTGATTATTTTTAACATACCAGGAGAGAACTTGAGGAAAGCATAAAAAAAGACTATTGGTCCCTTAACATTCTTGTTAACTTGTGTTGGTTTGCATCTATTTAGGAGCGGAGCCAAATATTTTAGTTAGTAGGGACCAAGATAACAAAGCATATATATATATATATATATATGTTTGCACTAAAATATGAAATGTCGCTCAAAAAAGTCACATGGCTAGTTGGACTGAATAACTGAAGTGTCAAGCTTAATATAAACAAAAAGAGCCAGCCCCAATGCTTAATAAAGGATGCAATAAGTAAATATGCTGAAATTTCATCAGCTGCAAACATTAGACCATTAGCACGAAAGACATGATCTCAAGTAATGTCAAAATCTATGGACCTCATATCCAAGTATCTCGATTAAACGGGCTAATTATCAAAATAGAGAGCATGGAATAAAGACCATGCCATGAGTTTCGTGAGAGTCTTGATTCTTCGGCAAAATGTACTAGGTCTTAAGGAAGAGACTACCATTATTCTGACACTATAAATAGAAGAAGAAGACATAGAAGAAAGGAGTCAACACTCAATTAAAGACTCGCATTTTACACTTTTTTAGTCCTTTAGTTTATCAGTTAATTTTTTAGTTTAGACTTGTAACTTTTTTATATTTCAATAAAATCAAACAATTATTCTATTAAAGCCTTGTATCTTTTTACATTTGAGTAAACTATAATAAGGGAGCTCGGGACTTTTTTGTTATCAATTGAGACTTAGCGTTTCTGGCACGCCTGGTATTTGTTAGTCACCATGAACAATATATATATATATATATATAATTGAAAGAAAGTTAAATCAATATATATCACTAATATAATATAAATATTTCAAAGTATGCATTCATATTTAATATATTGCAAATATATAACTAAAATAAATTTGTACTTTCATTTTGTAAGATTTTCTCTTTGATTTTTAATGGCATAAAAATAATTAATTATCATGTTCATGATAAATTTTTCAGCAATGTCCTTTTCAATATAAAATATCATTAAATTGGTAAAAAAATATTTTCTTTTTTAGCGTTGAATGATTTAAAATGCATCCTTAGGATACAATAATAAATATATCAACACAAACATGATGCTCAACTATCATAGAATCTTTATGTCTATGGGGTTGAATTATACAAGAGTAAAAACTATTAATGTTATGAATTTCAATACCTTGGTTATCACAAAAAAGAAGTAACTTTTTTTTTAGAAAAACACCTCAATTATAATCTCTTAATATTTGAATAAGTGATTTTATGATAGATATCAAGCATATTATATTCAATATATATTAGGATTTTTGTTGCAATACTTGACAAAGTTTGTCAATAATTCTCATAATTTTTATAGAGCATAAGCATTATCTCGTTAAAACTAAGAACTATACATGCATAAAAGAATACATATATAATTGAAATAAACATTTCATCTAGTGTCTCCATGCCTTTGTAATATGTCAACTTAGGGTGTTAAAAATAGATAACCCATATATTTTATAAACAAAAATATTAAAAAAGTTGGAGGGGGTGTATGTGTATGCTAACGTATAAGACAATTATGTGAGTTTAATGTCGCTTGAAAAAAAGTCAGTTAACAACCTTGAAGAAAAACAAGAGAATAGCTCTAATCAAATTCATCACATTCAGTTGTTTGTCCGAAACCAAACTAGTCAGTCCAATAAAAAATAATTCTCCCTGAACCATTTAATTAAGATGTCACGTTAATAAATGCTTTCTTGCCTCCTGGGATGCCTGGACTGGTCTATAATGAAGAAGTCTCGCCATCGCCAAATTTTATGTTCTGATGATCTTCCCCCCCCCCTCTCAGAGTAATTTGCTGCATTCTGACCCACACTTGAGTTATATGTTAGATGTCAAAGGAGAAAGCCTTCCGTATAATTTTTTCCATTTAGTCGTACAATGGAATTGTTGAGAGAACCTTAAGCAAAACATAAAGAATAACGAGTTACAAAAAATTAATCTTTTTTCAGTTTAATGTTTTTACAAACTAGCTCAAAATATGTTGAGAAAATTCAACAGTATCAAACATTGTCTAGGAAAAATTTCAGTGAAATCTCTCTCTGCCACCCCAAGTTACAGATAATGAGAAGCTTCTGCATGCAACCATATATTGAAATTGTTGTTAATTAAGCAGCCTTATCTTCATATAATATAATAAAAGGAAAACGAAATAAGAGTGATTTAAAACACCCCTCATTTAATTAAATGATTTGTGTTTTCCAGCTGCTCTGACTACTGTTTCTTTGAAAACGGACAACGAAACGTTTTGTGTTGTCGTTTTGCAAGTTCAATTCGTATTCTAATGCCGGGTTGTAGTCTCACTCTTTGATAGACTGTTACACATACACTTCTTGAAAAGCGATGCAAAGAAGAGAAATACACTAATCTAATTAACGACATTGAGTTCTTATTTCACAAACATGTTGATTGAAGCACCACGCACAACAACGACACTGAACGAATGGTAATTAACTCAACTTGTGTCACAGTACATCCAGTTTATATAGACAGCAAGGCTGTGCATTCCAATATTCCAAATTATTGGTTCTTGAATGTTTTCCCTTTTATTTACATTTACTTTTATTCTTCCATGTGAGTGCGCTTGCATGGCACTGTTTGATAAATGAGTTAACCTGTAATGTACATGGTGGGTTAACACGTGCTTGCGTTTAATTTGCCTGGGTTAATTTAAAAAAATTTATTTGGGTGGCTATTTTTAACAACCCAATCCACCCGAACAACGAGTTTTCATGCCAACCCATTTAACATGACCGGTAATACACTATAACGTGACGAAAGAATAAATAAATTATTTGTTTACTTCATATTAATGACATGACACTTCTTGCTAGATTATTTAATAATTTTTGCCCATCCATTGCCACAAAATCGGATGCCACATTCCTGATTCATCGGTACTGATTCCATGTCTATATATAGATATATATGTATGTATATAATATAACATAACCTTGCGTAGTACCGTCTCCTTGATTAAACAAAATACCATTTTTAATTGGAAAGCAAATTCTCTTTTTATTTTTGGAAGTTCACGAAAAGGAAAATCTATTCGCTAGTTTTCTAATCCGATCCAAAGCTTCTTTTGCAGTGGGACAATTTTAATATGGCAGTGCATTTTAATAATAATATATTGATATATTTTCAGAAGCACCAACTTAAGTTCATCTCTCCTTTATGATTTTTCCTTGTTTTTTTTTAAATTTAGAGAAATACATCATAAAATTAAAAGCCCTCTCGGCACATTTAATCAGATAAAGCCATTCAGTAGGTTGGTCGGAGAGATGAACGCTTACTCATTTGACCTTAAGTCTGCTACCGATAGGGCTTGGCTTGGGTTACAGAGTGCGTTGATTGCGCAGCTCTTTGATAATTCCCTGTCGGCGTTTGTATGTAGCGCTTTCAGGTCCTAACTATGTACAACAACCTTTCGCTAGTTTTCTAATCCGATCCAAAGCTTCTTTTGCAGTGGGACAATTTTAATATGGCAGTGCATTTTAATAATAATATATTGATATATTTTCAGAAGCACCAACTTAAGTTCATCTCTCCTTTATGATTTTTCCTTGGTATTTGATCGATCGTCTCTATCAAATACCAAATAAAGCTGTTGAGTGCAACTTGACAATCAAATTAAAGCACATTAAAAGGATACGGCAATTGCAAGGAATGCTTTAGACCTTTTCCTTTTGCCGTCAAAAAACACTACATGGTGCACTTCTCAAAATGCCATATTTTGAGTTTTATTCGCTGCGATTTCATGGATTAAATCCCAATTAGAATACGGATTTTATGTGTTTCGTATTAAATCTGGAATGAATGATTCATAATTTATGGATGACGTGATTTCTTATATATTTTATTTTATAAATAATAAGGAATCTAATTAAAGAAATAGTTCATTAATATTAATTACATGAATATTAATAAGGTTGGATTGGAGGTTGAGAAAATAAAAAAGTGAGAATATCAGTAAAGCATCTTGGAAGCAATTTAATTTTATAAAAGAACTGTTACCAAGCGAACATTAACCACCAAGAAGTGAAATTTTTATCAAATATTAAATTTTTTCAGGGATTCTTCATTAGTATTCTTCCAATAAAAAGTTGTATTTATTTTGCACAAGTTTACAGTACAAGTAAACTGTAAACACTCTCAAGCTATAGGCCTTGTTTCGGCTCTGTAAATTTCCTCTAAATTCTTTTGTATAAAGAAAAAAAATCCTCCACCTTGTACATCATCAATCAAAATCAAACAATCGGAGAGGCACGGAAATACTTGTCACCTGCAATAAAAACTACATAAAAAATTAATTAATTAATTAATTCACTGACATACATTATTTATAATGATTGGCAACAAAAACAATCAAACCTGAAACATTATACATGGACCCATACTTTTCTCGGCCAGAAATGGACCCATACTTAATGTCATATCTTAGGAAAGCCACGCAAACAATTCATTAGAATAAGTGTCGTGTATCTCCCGCACATACAACTACATATTGAAGCTTTAAACCATTCAATTAGGATCATATACTGTATCTCCGACCTTCTGGAGATCAGTAAACCTTTGAATTAGGGTCATGGCATGATAATATCTACCGATGTTGTGTGCAAATACATTTTCATTGCAGAGAATATAGATGACTGCGGAGCTCCCTTCACTCCAATAACAAAAAGGATAAAGGTAGATCTGTCTCCAAGTTCATGCAGACCCTTGACCTACGCATTGTTTGATTTCATTTGCGAAAGCCATAGGTGTCCATGAACCAGCAGCTAAGTCTACCCCCCATCACCTCCTTTCAGCGTTGGAGTTCAGGAAGCTCCGCATACAACTATGCCTATTACTGCTATGGCTTGCCTGAAGAATCAATGCCTGTCATTGGGTTTATATAGCCCAACATGTGTGATCTCAACCATTCAATGTCAAGGATATCCTCTCTTTTAATTACAAAATTCCCATCTTAATTGCTCTCGATTCTTTTCTTTTTTAGACTCTAAACTATTATATTCTTTCTCTTTTTTTATTTTTTATTTTTATTTTCCACTTGAGGCTTAATGGTTGTGTACAGTTACAGGCTGTTTCCCTCTTGCATCATTTTTTATTGGCTTCTGTTTAATATTGCTTAATTAATTTAAAATTGATTATTTTATATTGAAAAAAAAATACTTAGTGGGAGTATGTATAAAGCTTGAGATATATAGATTAACTTTTAAATATTTATATCATATGTTTTCTCATATGTATGATTGAGCAATAAACTTATGATGATCACTCATCAGACATCAATACATCCCACCAGCAAGCAGTTTATTTTGTTGTCAACAAAGCGTTTATGATAGTTATGTTTCCATGCTTGAGTTATATACATATAAACACCACCAAGCGCTGATTCCAGCTAGTTGAAATGGTTATGGTAGCTTTACGACAAGGTTTTGGATTCGAGTTTTTTTGAATGCAAAATAATGAATTTGAGTTTTGTTGAATGCAGAAGACATCTTTAAAAGATTTTTTTTTGGAGTCTAATTAACATGGCTTGAATTAAGATTAATTAGCTAGCCAGAATTCAGTATAATTCCAGATATTCGATATGACTGTTCACAACATATGTAAGGGCAAAACTTTATGTCCTTAATAATGTTTTTTTTTTTCCTCCAATAACTTTTTGCCGTTTGGATGCTTTTTCGATCTCATCAATTCGCTCGTTTTAACAGCGTTTGCCTTCTGTTTGCTATTTTAGGGGGAATAATAAGCCTAATTCAATTACTCTTCTCTCTTGAGTCCTCCTCTCTCCCTCGTCTTTGCGTCATCTCCCTCTCCTCCATCGATCCTTCTTCAGATCTATTGAGTATTGAAGGGTGTTCTCATCTCTCTCTTCTATTTCCTTCTCTCGCATTCTCGTATCTCTCTTCATTTTAGTCAACTGAATTAGAATAAGAAAATCAAAATTTTAGTCCCCATGATAAATCAACAAAGAGAAGCTCAATACAAATTAATTTCAGGTGCAAGGCATTGATATTCCTCACATTACAAGAAAAAAATAATTTTTTACGGAAAATTATTAATTGCATTATATCGACTTAGTTAAAGAGAATTTCTTGCGAAAATTTTTCAAATTAGAAATATTCTCAGATAATAGATTCTCCATCAACAGGTATTATATTGAAAGATATCACAATCTGTACTGTTGCCTTTGCTTAGTGATCCACTCAATTGAAAGGCCCTTTTTATTGTGCTTTGATCTCAGCATTCTCTCCTCTCATCACTGGTCCTTCTTAGTCGGCATTGCAACCATTCAACTTAACAAATACTATTAGTTATTTGCATGGGATATATTCTTAATTTATATACATACATACATACATATATATTTTCTTTGTTAAATCAAACAAGAACGCTTAAAGTAAGTTCGTTTACCAAATATTTGTATGTCTGATTATATAACATGGTCTATACTTTTCACACACATTTCTGTTATTTTTCTTCTTACGGCGTCCTCTTTCTGTGTTGTCCACAATGATAAACAATTGATAAACAATTTTGTTCTCATGCTCAAGTAAACTAAAAATTATACATAAAAGTTTTTGTATGATTTTCTTTTCTTTCTTTGTTTTGTTTTTTTTTTTGCGCCGGCCTATAGCTACTTCTTCTATTAAGATTTTGGAACTATATTTCTGAAACAATTTCTGTGACTCTAGTTGTCCACGCCGTCTGTTTCCATTTAAATCACTTCATCTTTATGCGCATTAATTAACATAGGTTAAAAATACGTGCATGGTTTAGAAATCAGGTAGTTAATTAGAAGCTGTGGTGGTTATTTTAATTTGATAGATATTAGTTATAGGGGCCAATAGCTCAATGCCTCAAACTTTTGAATGCAAAATTGAATTGGTAATATAGAAAAGGGTTAAATTACAAATTTACTCTCAATGTTTTCGCCTAGGCACACCACATATCCTAAAGTAATTTTTGGCACAATTTTGCCCTCATGTTTTTTATGTAGGTACAATGTCACCTACCCGTTACCCTTTGACTATGTTGACTATAATTTGCGTGTTATTTGCTAGCTTGCCGTGTTAGTTAGCCATGTTTGAGATTTTTTTTAATTGCCACATCTTCACTTTGCTTCATTAAACATTTTCTCCCAAAAAAATCTCCCTTCCTGATCCCAAAGTCTCCATCGAATTAGCTCTTCTTCCTTATCCTAAAATAGCCCCCTTAACCTCTTCGATTACGTGTTGCAAAAACATCAGGAAGGTTCGAATTAGAGGAAGAGTCATCATTAGAAAGTGAGATGAAATTGTTAACACCATCATGTATATCTCCCCACAAGGATATCTTCAGGCATTGCCTTGAAGACTTCGTGGATATGCTTGTCTTTGAAAAACCTCACCTTTGCAGTCACCTTTGTGATAAGTTACACTTGCTTTGCCCCTCACTTTTGTCTTGTTGCACAATTAGATTAGTGTGTTCCAAAGCTAGGTTGGGTTTGATTGGTATGAAGACAAGGACGGGGGGTTTGATTCGATTGGTCAAATGCTAGGTTTAGTTTGATTGAAGGGTTTCAAGGGGTTTGATTCTAGGGTTCTGTGATTTCTAGGTTCTATTGAAGGGGTTTGATTCTAGGTTATGGGTTCTTTGAAATAATTAGATTTGGAATAAAAATTCACTTGGATTTAGAAATAATCAACTCTATTCGTTGCTCCATTAGATCAGTTTGATTATGAATTTTTGGGTTCTACCAAAAGTGTCTAGCTTGTTCTTCAACCCAGGTGAGTGACCTTATCGGGGATTTGGGTTTTTGGATTTGATTGAAGGTTTCTAGGTCCTTTGATTCTTCTTCTTCAACAACAATTAGATTTGATTTTGGGTTTAAAGGTTTAGAGTTGGATACTTTATCTTTGTTAGCTATTTGTTAAAAAATTATTTCAATTTGTTTATTTTATTGTGAAATGTGAAGCTTGCTGGAATGTCGATTGTGTGGTAGTGTGAAATATCTCCCTTACCTAATCACATTCAATACTTAAAACCAAGGTATTCTTTGGATTAACCCAAATTAGATTACCAAGTGGGTAATTTGTAAAAATGGAATCCTAAGTTTTTATAGTTTAAAATGAATTAAAATCATTTATTAAACTTTTAGTGAGAGTAAAATAATTATTTTGAAAGTATGAGATACCTTAGAGGAGTGAAATAATTCGAAAGCAGTTAAAAAATATCAAAGATTGAAAAAAATAGAGTAATGCAAAGCAATGGGTTCTTCTCTATGCCATACGTCACGGCGTAGGAGCCATGTGCTGCGACGTGTTATATGTTTTTTATAGCAACCTGGTGCAATTTTGGTATGCCCTATTTCTTTGTCGTACATCCAAACAATTTGATCTGGGTGTATACAAAAAGCTATTTTCATGAACTAGCTAATAGAATGAGTCTTACTTTCAAAATAAGTCACATAAAAAAGTTAGACAACCAAGGATATTTTCAACCCATGTTCACAGTTTTTACAATTTAAGGGTGTCTAAAACCCCACATATGTGCTAAAAGCCATTTCTAACACCCAGACCATACTCAATGGACTTAGGATTACCTGTACAACACACCATATATATATATATATATATTTACACCAGAGTATCAAAATTTTACTCCTTAATCCCTTTAATACAAAAGACAAAGGAAAAGGTTTTAACATTGTATTTTGAAATCAACATCCACAATTAAAATCAAATTAACAACCCTATATTTTCACTAGTATTTTAGCCTTATTAAATACTTGACAACTTACACATAATATTCCAGGGCTTAAAATACATCCTAAAAAGCATAAACATCAATAAGTGTAATGTGTGCAAGATATAACCTCATTGGCAATTAAATTGTTCATTACATAAGATAGATGAAGTAAGGAGGCATTATAATAGGAATACTCAAATTCCTAAGTCTTTGAAGTCTTTTCCCTTTCCATACTAAAGCTAAAGCCTGTAAAATATTGAAAGAGAGGAGTGAGTTTAGCTACTTTGTAACTAAGGTACACCTACTCTATATAGTTATATATTAATTGATTTAAATACATGCAAAGGGGTTTAATCACCTAAAATATACTATTACATGTAATACCAAATCATCATTTCTCAAATTAATTCCTTTACATGTTTTGTATCTTAATTCACAAAGTACATTACCACAAGACATACAAACATGTTATAATCACCCAATTCATTTATTCCCAACTCATTACCACAATATAGACAACAGTGTGACAATGACACATTATCTATCACGACTTGCCACAAACTTAACAATCATGCGACACCTAGGATAAACACATGCATGATAAATTTCACCTTATATCCTCCCTATATCTTTCAACTAAAACTGCAGGCTATAATATAAAATAGGGCTTTGCATGTATGTGACTAGACTATCCAAGCTCACCAATTGTGAGATGTGATCCGGCTAAAGATAACATAACTTATTCTCTGACCATGGCTTTCCCTACTCTCAAATCTCTAGAGTGTCATACATCCTAAGCCAATTAGGTAGAGATAGCTAGGTTTTAGTTCCTCGACAAACTATAGAACAGTCTCTCTATAAATAGTGGGATAAGGTTATGCTTTTGTGCACTAGAAGATAACTATAAGTACTATATGGATTTTATCTACTCTTCTTCTCTAGGCGAACTCTAGCCAAATGATCATGCATTATACAATGCTCACTAATTTCACAATTTCATTAATTCAAAATCAATACATTGAGTTTGCGATAATATCTACCTAAGTGAGCATCAATGTCACATTCATAAATATTCTCCTTTTCATCTCTATATTCCATAACATATT